AAGAAGGCCAGAGCGTACAACAGCCGAAACGTTGTGATAAATATGGCAACAAAGATGAGGACAATAGTCCGAATAATGTAAATAGTGGGTCTTCTAGATATACATTTATACTACCAACTGCAATCCTGAAGCTACAAACGAAACGACGCCAGCCTTTCACTAGTAGATCACAATTTTTATGCCAGATGTTCGGGCGAGTTGCATTTCTTAGTTTTACCAGTTCGCACCTTCACATCTTTTTGTGATGACAACTAACACTCGTTGTCACTTTTGTGATGTCAACGAATACACATTGTCACTTTCTTAATGATCGTTGTAGTAGAGACTTTGTAATCGCAGATACAACTATAGTAACGCCGTTGAACTATACCTGTGTCAGACGCCTTCGAATATTTATTGCACAAATAGTACTTGCTTGGTAATACTCAATCGAATAGTAACCCGTATAGAGAAATAGTATAGTGAACAGGGTAGAGAATAGCGGTCCGTATAGTGATAGAAGATAGAAAAGAAATACGATCCGAATCGTAATAAAGGATATACTAGGAATGGCGATCCGTGTAGTATAGAGGATTCAGTAGAAATAGCGATCCGAAGAGAAATTCTAGAGGATAGACTAGAAATGCAGATCAATTAGACGTCACGCTACCTTCCATATATGCGTTTCCACTATGGTCACGTGGTCTACTTAGTTCGATAATAGGATCGCCTGTGCTTGCTCACTAGCGATCTATGTTCAAACTCAAGTGTCGGCAGCGACAATTTATTCCTATATGATACATCTATGATCCGCCATACCGTATTCACGGTGACAAACTATCCTCATTCCTTTCATAATCCTTTGATAAAAAGCAAGTTCCACTCTGACAACTTCTTCCTTAGAATTGTTACTTTCTGGTGTGAACTCCTGAGGTGAACTACAGTAAAAATAAAAACTGTATTCGGTTTTTTCGAGGTCCATATTCATTTCCTTTACACTAGACAGTCTTTCTTTTTCGTTTTTTTTTTGTTTTGGTATTTTCCATGAAATGGTATGTGCAAATTTTTCGAAATATTTAGATAGGTTTAAATGTTTTGGTTGTTGTTTATTTCGTATACATTGCCTTATTATATTGTAATTTGCATTATAAAGATATAGACCAGCGTTGACCTATGCTATAGTGAACAACTTGTTCATTTGAATAATGCATAGAAAAAAAAAAAGAGCAGTTTCTGGACGAGGAAGTCCAATCAGTGATTATGCCGTTTGACAATACCTGTTCTTAATTTGCAAACGCAACACAATAAACAATCGGAGTACTGGGATGGGAACTTCTTCTACATATAGCGTATTATCACAATCTGTCATTATTATAATAATCACTTGTTTTTTTTCCAGAAGCAGACATTTTCTCAGTCTTTTAATATATCGAAATCTTTGAATTGAATACGAATTCGTTAGATTATGATAGAATACACAGTTTAACTAAAAGATGGCGTAAAATCATAAACATCTTGTGAATTCCTTTAATAACTGAATAGTGAATTCACATGAGCTCACTAATTCGTATCAATTTAAGATTTTAACCAAAAGTACAGAAAGTGTTTCTAGAATTATCTATATATTTAACTAGACGGCTCGTGACCCGTCGGGTCACTGATTGTTCAGGTTCTAAAACATTGAAGTTGATTCCAACATTTCATTGAAATGAAAGTTTATTTTATTATGATTCAGTTAAAATATTTCAATTCGTTCGTGTCATCATTGGTCCTGGTTTCATGTTTAACGTTTTATTGATTGTTTACAGCATTTAATAGCAATAGAACTTCAGGGATAAACTTAAAAATGAAATCAGATAAACTTAAAAATATTTTTTTAATCTGACAAAAAATATTTTAAAATCATAATCACATGAAAATATTTTTTTAAATATGTCAAAAATTATTTTTTAAATATTTAAAAATATGTCAAAAAATATATTTTTTTAAATATTTAAAATACTGTTTGTATAAAGAAAGCTAAAATATAACTAACTAACAGTAGAGCCCGGCGTTGCCCGGGGATGTAACAGTAAGAGATAGATCAAGTATCGACCATCATAAAGACTGAAAATTAAAATTGACAAAGATTATTGTTTAAGGTTGACGGACACGCATGTCTTAATGAGTTTTTTTTTTGTTTTTTGTCTTTCTTTTTGTTTTTTTACGAATTTGTCAAACCCAAACTCAAACAAAAACATTGTTTTCAATCGTTATTAGTCTACCGATTGAATAGAATTTTATTATAAACAATTGTCTTGTAAATGGAATTTTTAAAGCATTCTGAATGTAAAAATAAAGGAAAAACGTGTGCAAGACAATAAGAAACACTACCTGCCAAAAAAAAGTTAAGTTTTGTTGAAATTGGTTGAAAAATGTAGGAAATCCGATCCCATATATAAATGAACACAGACACACACACACAAACAACCTGGGTTTTATAATAAGTATAACTCGATATGAGTTGTCCCCCTTTCATTCACGCGATAGCGATACCTTTTAATCGTGTTTTCAAATTGATTTCATGCAAAAACAATTGTGTTTTTCCGATTTTTGGCGCCGTCAGATCCACCGCAAGGCAATTTTACGTAGTCCTGTGAAGTTTTGTTGAAATCGGTTGAAAAATGTAGGAACTCCGATCCAATATATAAACGAACAGACACACACACACAACCTGGGTTTTATAATAAGTATGATTACTCTACAAACAACTGGACGAAACAGCAAAGCGTGATATCTTCATGTCAAGCTTTAACTTAAAATATTTTAATTAAAAAAATGATCTGTTTGAAGAAAGTTAAAATCGAAATTCTTACTGTATAAGTAACTCGTATTTTTAAATCTTATTCACTTAAACAAGATTAACTTAAATCATTATGCGTCGGACGAACGCATCACACATACATGTACGCAATCACAGATTTTAGTATCATAGAGATAAATAGTAAAAGTAATATTAGTCGACATTCACTGACCGACTTGCTAATGATATTTACGGTTGAAATTTATAAAAGTGTTGTGTATGATACACCTAATTTACATAAGTGGAGTACCGACCATATAAATATGGGTTGGTACCGGAAGACGACGGAAGATTAAGAGATCGAATCCAGAGACTCTGCCCGACTGCGACTTAGTCAACCCATTCTGCAGGAACAGTCTTCCCAAGAATATACCAAAACTACCTGTAAATATTGTGTACCTTTTTTCATTGTTTCAATACATTTTGTTACGTACATTTTGTGTTGTATTATTATTATTCCATGCTTATTCAAGCTTCAACAAAAAGCTTTCTATTAAAATGGTTTTGCAAGGAACATAACATCAAATTGACACAAAGACGCTACGAACATATCTCTTGAGTTTTTCATACTCAACACGAGTCTCTTCAAAGTCGCTCTCATCACTGTGAGGAACGAGCTAGGTTTTACCAGTGATTTTGTATGTTAACATTCTGCAGTGTGTTCTTGAAGCAATCTTGAACATACATACAAATATACATAGTTTAAAATAAGGATAAGAAGAAAATAATTTTATGCAAATTTGGTACTGGATTATTTTTAAAGTAAAACACCCCGGCATAGGCTATTATGTCGACGGCTCTAATGTCTATGTTGAAGAAGCGGGAGGTTTCCTTCCTTGCTGCTGACTCATATACAGTACTTCATTTTTTTTTAATAACACTTAAGACCTTATTGATGAACGCTTACTAATAATTAGCAGTAGAGCCTGGCGTTGCCCGGGGATGTAACAGTAAGAGATAGATCAAGTATCGACCATCATAAAGACTGAAAAATAAAATTGACAAAGATTATTGTTTAAGGTTGACGGACACGCATGTCTTAATTAGGTTTTTTTTTTTTTTTACGAATTGGTCAAACTCAAACTCAAGCAAAAACATTGTTTTCAATCGTTATTAGAATTTTATTATAAACAATTGTCTTGTAAATGAAATTTTTAAAGCATTCTGAATGTAAATATAAAGGAAAATGTGTGCAAGACAATAAGAAACACTACCTGCTAAAAAAAATGAAGTTTTGTTGAAATCTGTTGAAAAATGTAGGAAATCCGATCCCATATATAAACGAACACAGACACACACACACACAAACAACCTGGGTTTTATAATAAGTATAACTCGATATGAGTTGTCCCCCTTTCATTCTGGCAACAGAATCGTGTTTTATCGTGTTTTCAAATTGATTTTGTGCAAAAACAATTGTGTTTTTCCGATTTTTTGGCACCGTCAGATCCACCGCAAGGTAATTTTACGTAGTCCTGTGAAGTTTTGTTGAAATCGGTTGAAAAATGTAGGAAATCCGATCCAATATATAAACGTACACACACACACACACACACACAATCTGCGTTTTATAATAAGTAAGATGACTGAAGAACATGAGTTACCAACACGTACAAAGTAAGAAAAAAAATAATTTCATTAGATATAAATATACGTACAAAGTCGTCGCTGGCTACAGTACTTCCTCGATTATCTCTACCTTGATTTTGCGGAATTCGATTATCCGAAAACGTGAAATAAAGTGACAAATTAAAATCATCTGAATAGTTTTCAGTTAGCTGAACTAAACTTATTCTAATATTTCAACTCAGAGGAGTGTTTTCCAAATTTAGAAAACCATACTCAACGTTTGATAAGGACGTAGATAAATTCCCTTCAATTAATTCTTGTTAATTTTCTCGAAAAATATTCATTTATTTTTTACAGTTTATCAACATTTTGTAGGTTATTTAAAGCCAGACAATATTTTTAGATTTTAACAATGTTTTGGAGATAATAATGATTATACTGATACAACTCTTTCCAATTAACCCATAGCTGGGAGGAAAAGAGGTGGATTCATACCTTTTCTAAGGGTGTTTCCGAGCAAGTAAATATAAAGAACACGACTGGAATTGAAACTAGGCTCTTCGATTTCCAATACCGAGTCATTATCTGTTACATCACCCCCATGCCCAAGCTTACAGCACCTGGTATTTCCAACCGGTTACCCATCTAGGTACTGATCAGGTTCGAAGTTGCTTAGCTTCAGTGACCATATGAGAGCCGGTGTTTCAACGTGAAAATATCAATAGTCCAGGCAGATTAAGGGGGGGAAGATGATAATGATATTGTCCATGTTGAAGGTCATCAGCCCCAATATTTAATTTCAAATACTGAATTAAATCTGTCAAATTCGTTCCCAATCAGAAGCTATTCTTACAAATACATCTATTTTAATCAAGCTTCGAGAGTTAGTGACAGGAAACCTCGAAGCCAACCGGAAACAGACAATCATAGACGCACTTTTTTCATAAGAATAAAAACAGAACATAACCTTGATCATAACGTTTGAATATATTATTTGATATGAACATTATTTACATTATTCAGACTATTGTCCTCATCCTTGTCGCCATATTTATCACAACGTTTCGGCCATTAACGACCGAAACGTTGTGATAAATATGGCTACAAAGATGAGGACAATAGTCCGAATAATATAAATAATGTACATAATACCTCATCTCAGAAATATTCGATATGAATATTAAATGACCTTTTTCTTGATTCTTTTTTTTTTTATAATTTAGGTATTCAATTATCCAGAATTTGAATTATCCAAACATTCTTTCAGTCCCTGTCTGAAGCTGGCCGGATGGATAAGTATTATATATGTTAAAAGTTGTTTATTAAACGTAAAGAAAGCCGCCAACTTACAACGTCTTTCTACATCGTGTTCGTTAATAAACGCTAACGGCTGGTCGTCATAAAACAGATCAGTTATGGTCCGATGACATTTGTGACAATAACGTATCACTATCTCCCCCGTCTTTAATAAAAGAAATAACTGAAAAGAGCCTGCCATTAAATTTCAAATGCATAGCCGTCTCCAAACCTTATGATGTATCGATAACAACCGATCCTTTGGCCAAGTATGTTTGGCGCAGGGGTGACGTTTCATGCGAACCAAGTTTCAACTGACATTCTCCTAGTCCGCTGGTCAAGAAGTCACACCAAAGTCAGATGCACTGGTAATGTTTCACTGCCAAAAACCGATAATCTTTATTCTGTCCTCAGTAGAAGTAGTCGTCATCATGGCTTAGTCTTTTCCCCCCCGTCCTCTTTTTTTATTTTGTTTTGTTTTTTGTTTTTCGCATTTTTCATGCGATCTCGTGGTTGCTTGACCAGGACAGCCAATCAATGTCATATGTCGCGTTGCCTTTCGACACGGGGCAAAAGGGGATTCTTTAGCCTTGGCATTATTTATTCGGGATGACTTGCCAAAATGACCTCTCATGTTGACGAGAAATATATTTCCATCCAGGCTAAAAAGAAACAAACAAATAGGATAAAAATGAATAAATAAAAATTCTTATATTTGGAGTATCGCAGACTTTTTTTTTTAACAAATGCTCTCAGAAGAGAATGGATTTTTACAGTAATTCTTTATTTGATGTATTTTTCTTTTTCGTTGTTAAAAAATAAAATAAAATAAAATGCCTTCCAGGTCTTGAATATATTTGCTGGGATGAACAAACATTTGCAAAACATCACATCTCTTTTAATCTTAGAATTAGTAAAATACTTCCTAATAGCTGTTAGCCGTTAGTAAGTCTTAACTGTAAATCTTGTTTAATGATGTCTTTCAATAGAATCCCAACAACAAATGTCATTTCTTGCTTTAAAAATCTAACAGTGTATAAACATTTTACGTTGATCATAAAACTATAAAACATTTGGCAACTATTCATTTTACAAAGTCATTAATGGACTTGAAATGTGGCATGTAAAATAGTATGGCCCCAAATGTATATAACTTCTGACTCGACACAAACACGAAAGCTATACCCGTAGGCTTAGTCGTCAAAGAGGGTGTATTTTAATACCTTCTGTGGAACTGATATTTATCCTGTGTATAAGATGTAGAACAAGGTTGCTAATTACACGATATCAAATACTGGAATAAAGTTCGTCCATTAAAAACAGAAAAAAATTGAGTTCATTTTTTTCGAAAAAGAAATACTGATAGAAAAAACATGAATCTAATCTTTACCGCTACTGGCATGATTTATCGTCACATCAGGCACTATTCCGGTCCGACAGGATGTTAAAATTGGGTTGAGGGTGATCCTGCACAAGGTTCCTAATTTGCGAATCAGTTTTATATTTATATAGAGGCAATTAATGCTTAAAAGAGCTGAACAACAATATTGTTAACATGAAATATAAGGGAAAGATTTTACTAAAATTTCTACCAAAGAATGATTATTAATTTATGTTAACATAGAAGTTTAAGATTAAATTAAAACAAGTCGGTCCGAATGGATCTTTCAAATGTACAAGATACAGAATATAAACGTATTGTTCAATGCTATCTATCTCTCTCTCCTCTCTCTCTCTCTCTCTCTCTCTCTCTCTCTCTCTATCTATCTATCGTTAAATAATATAGACAAGTTTTGTCTATTTATTTTAAGTAAATTCCTTTCATATTGTCGAATAAGCTTTTTAGCATTATCACTGAAACACGAAAGAAAATTACCATATTGATACATGTTTTTATTGTTTATCCTGTCTGAGCTTTCGGCTTACATAAGCCATCATCAGAGATTACAAGTACATTACAATAAATTAAATAATAAATTAAATAACAAAGATTGTAATTTTTGTTTTAGATTGGTTATGCGGACATTGCAGCAATGATAGTTTGTTTTGTTTGCAATGAAGATTGCTATGAATGATAAATTCGTGCATATGAATTATGTAAGCCGAAAGCTCAGACAGGATTAACAGTAAAAACATGTATCAACATGGTGATTTTCTTTCGTGTTTCAGTGATAATGCTAAACAGCTTATTCGACAATATGAAAGGAATTTACATAAAATAAGTAGACAAAACTTGTCTATATTATTTAACGAAACATGCATTAATGAAAAAATGCTGCCTAAATATACACAATATATATATATATATATATATATATATATATATATATATATATATATATATATATAGCTTTTCATCTCGAGGTTCTTGACAAAATCGAAAGAAGGATCTGCAATGTAATCGATTCTGACTTGGTATCTTGACTTCAACCCCTCTCTCACATACGTGATGTGGCTTCCCTCAAACTCTTTCTACAAATATTTTCATAATGATTATATGATGGTGATGATGATGCTGTTTAAATTGACAACATTTTAACACCTTCCTCTGTGAATTTGATATGACACATTAATGCAGCTGTTTTAAATTTAACTTTCTTATCTCTTCACCTTCCCTTACCCTTTATTTTAAATATTTTTCTATTCTCTCTGTTCATAATGTAAGCCCCCAAATAAAACTATTCTAGGCCAATTTATTTTTGCTATTGTTTTATCTTGTATTTTTTATTTTTCTATTTTCTTTTATCTTCGTATATCTGTCTGTCTGGGATAGCTTGCTTCCATTTCATAGAATGTAGTCGGTCTGATGAGATGAGTTTGCTTATATTCATCGAAATAAATTTATTACTGACGATGGATTTTTAAGTTTTTTTTCCGAATTCTTCCCATAATTTACGCTGTATCATACATTGAGTTCTCATATGGACAGAAAAGTCCGCTTTGGAATAATCCCTACCAATTACGATTTGGTATTTTATATATATATATATACAGAGAGAGAGAGAGAGAGAGAGAGAGAGAGAGAGCGCTACCTCGGTTTTCAAATGTCTCCCATATTGAACAAATCGGTTTTCGAACAGACTATTCGAGATAAAAATACCTCGGTTATAAAACAATATTTCAGTTCTCAAACAACATTACCGAACCGATCCGAACCGAATTAACCCGAATGGAATCATTTCTGAGTCGACCGCCTTGTTGCATACATTCGTGCGTTGTGCTGTGCTTTTCTTTTACAATTTTATTGTATTGTGCCATTTTATTCTCTTTATTAGTCGTTAGTCATGGATCCAAAGAAAGCTAGCAGTGATACTCGTAAAGGAAGAAAAAAAGCTAAGAGAAAAACAATTGTTGATGATATTGTCTCTATGATAATGATATATTTTCACTTCCTACTCAGTTTCATATGTCAAAAGCAACGATCTATACTATTCTTATAAATAGACAATTATGTCTTTCCTTTCCTTTTCCAAACAATAACATCTCTTTCCTTCCCCTTTCACTTACGCCATTAACTCTCCTACATGCAGTTACGGTAAAATTGAAGCTTTTGTCTATATTTTATCTGTTTAGTATTGGGTATATTTGTTTTTTCTTAGACTTAATGATTTTCATTAGTTTTATGTATAAACTTGTTACCAAAGTACTGTTGTTAAAATTTAAATAAGCAATCATCTTGGGATCAGAAACGAATTAATCCGTTTTACATTGATTATTTTTTGAAAAATATTTTCAGTTTACGAACATTTCGGGTTACGAACGGGCTTCAGGAACGAATTAAATTCGTGAACTGAGCTTCAATTATACATATATATATATATATATATATATATATATATATATATATATATATATATATATATATATTGAATGTATAGTCATGGATTCAGATTTCGAGAAATTGGTCGGAGCCAGTTTCAGATTTTTATATGAATTAATATGGGCTTTAGCCCTTGGGCCCCAAGACTAGAGGGCCCCTTAAAAATAGAGATAAAAAACAGATTATTAGGATGGTTTGCTCGTAAATTTTAATCGCAGAGTTTCAGTGTAATACAGGCCCTTCATTCTAGATACATTTTTGTAGGATGTAAAGTTTGGATAAAAAATATCGTGAATTTGCTGATGAAATAAATGGCATGAGTCCCAAAATCGTTAAGAAATTTAGTTGAAGTGTCTCATGTTTCACACCGAAAAATGATCATTTAAAAATATTTTTTTATATAAACACGTGGGTGGGGTGAACATAACGTAATGAAGGGATTCCCAAATTCTATTAAATCTGGGGCCTCTTATTGCCTAAATCAGGCTCTGGTCGGAGCGAGAATTTTAAAGCACTCCTTCGTACCTATCACCGATGCTAACAATAGAATCGACGTGCAGTGTTCAGATCCCCTTCGGGGCAGATTCGTACACT